GGGGGGTGCCCCTGCCCTGGCTGGCTCTTTTCACTTTACCCAGTCTCGAGCTGAAGCTCTGCACCTGCTCGGCGACCAAAGCCTTCATCGGCGCTGTCACACACACAAGCAGCACACAAGCACACAAACACACATCGTGGCCTTGTCCCTCCCACTGCTCTGCAGGTAAGTGATGTGACATGACGAGTCCGTGCTCACAGATATAGATGATCTTGAAGTTGTTGAGGTCGATGCTGCCGTCGCTGAGGCGGTAGTTGCCGATGACGTTGAGCATGGTGAGCATGGCGACGTTGGTCTTGCCCGAGCCCGTGGGGGCGCAGACCAGCATGTTCTGGTCGTACTGCTGGAAGGCGCAGTCGGAGACGCGGCTCTGCACGGGGTTGAGGCTCTTGACGTCAAACTTCTGGAACGGCGCCTGCGCCCACTCGGGCAAAGTGGAGATCTGTCCACCATACACACACGAGAGAGAGATGACTTGCGCAGAGAGGCAGTGTGTGGTTTGTGTGTTTCTCACCGGCACAAGGGTGCTTTCGTCGATCTCTGGCGGCTTGTACTGCTTGACATGAACCTCGTCATAGCTCTGGTGTTGCGTGACAACGACACGGACATCACCCACACAGGCGTGTTAATGCCACGAAAACATCCCCCGTCTGTCTCTTGCACTGCACACCTTCTTCTCGAGTCTGAAGGAGCCCTCCGGCAGTTTGCACCGCTTGTTGGCCATGAAGTGACCCCCCTGGGCGAAGGCAATGGTGTCGAGGTCCACCACGTGGGTGGGCTTCTTCATGTCCCCCGCATCCACTGCCGCCAGCGCTCCACCGATGCCCTCACCTGCATCAAACACACATCTCGCATCGCAAATGCCCTCTCTCTCCGGGTCTCTCTCTATCCCTCTGTGTCCGGCCGCGGCAGCTGACTGACCTTCGTCGGCCTGTCTGGCGGCCTGTCCGGCCTTCTCGCCCAGCTTGGCAGCCTCCTTCCTGACGTTGCGCCTGAACTCCTCCTCCTTGTTGCGTCTGAGGTTGACCCGCTCGAGCTGCTCGAGCACCTCCTGGCCCTCGGGCGTGGCTCGCATCTCCTCGTGAATCGCCTGGATGACACACAGGGGCCCAGAGAGACAGAGAGAGAGGGTGCGTGCGGCTGCGGTGTGTGCGTGGGGGCGTACCGCTTTCTCGTCGTTGGACTGCGCCTGCCCGAGTCGCGTGCAGTAGAGGAGCTTCCACCTGTTCTTGAGGATGAGTTTGGCAAAGTCGAAGTTCTCGTACTTGAGGATGAAGACCAGCTTGTTCTCGCACTCTTGCAGGTCAGGGGTCGACAAGATCGACAGTATCTGTGGCACACCACACAGACCACACACATCAAACAGGGGAGGGTCTCTCTCTCTGTCTGTCTGTCCGTCTGGTGTGATGTGTGTGTGTGTGTGTTGGTCACCTCCTTCTCTGTGGCGACGATGACATTGGGGTCGGTGTAGAACTTGCCCAGCTCGCGCTGCAGCCAATGCGAATCAATCTTGGCTGCACACCGACACAGGCAACACACAGGCAGAAAGGTGTGTGGGTGTGAGGTGTGGTGTGGTGTGTGGTGGGCATGGCAAATGTCTGTGTGCTCATTGTGCGAGGGAGAGAGACACTTACAGACGTCGAGGCTGTACTTGTCCCCCTCCTTGATCACATCCTCCTCGTCCTCATTGATGCGCGCCTCCAAGTGCTAAACAAACGGGACAGTCCATATCAACACACACACACAAACACACACACACACACACATCCATCCAGCCATCATGCGTCTGTGTCGATGGACGATGCACACAACACACGCATACCCACCCGTCGTTCGGTCTCCTCCCCGAGCGCCTCGTCGTCCTCATCGCCCTCCTCCTCCTCATCGATCTCATCGAAGTCGGCGTCCTCGGCCTCCTTCATGGCCTCATCCTCCTCGTCAAACACCACGGCCACTCCCGTCGGATCGTTCAACTGGCTCTTGGACAACGCTGCACACCACACCACACCACACACCACACCAGACACCAGACGGCGGGAAGAGGTTTGTGTGCTGTTTGTGTGGATGACGCGGTGCGGTGTGTGTTACCTGACTCCTCCATAGCGACGTCCTCTCCCTCTGCGTGGAAGTCGGTGACCTGTTTGGACATCTGGTAGAGGGCCGTGAAGGTGTCTTCGTCGAGCTTGCCCATGACCTCCTCGCAGTTTTTCTTGCGCTCCACGTCGCGAATATTGTCAGTCTTCAGTGCCGCGAGCACCTCGTCTGCCGCGCCCCGCAGGACGTCCTGCGGCTGGTCGCCGAGCTGCTGCTGGATCTTGGCCAGGAGCTGCTCGTAGACGGCTTTGGTCTGCCGTGTGGTGGGGCGGTAGATCATGGTCTCCGTCACGTCGGCACTCAACACGGTCTCGCCCTTGGTGATATCCTGAACGAACCAACCACACACACACACACACACACACCACACTCAGGACACGGCAAATGCTTCCTTCCGCTGTGTGTCTTGTCTCCCCTTCCCACAGACTGACTGACCAGTTTGGTCTTCTTCTTGGTGAAGGCCTGCTTTGCCTTCTGCTCGTCGCGCTTTCTCTTCTTCTCGAGTCGTTCCTCCAGCTCCTTGGGCCGCTCCCGGCTGATTTTGTCGCCCATGCGGTGCTTGAGACGACCCACCAGCGACTCAGGCTCGCCCGTCGGCTCATTCTGGTTCGGACCTGGACCTTCTCGCTGAAGCACCAGGTTCGAGTTCTGATCGATCATGAGACACACACACAAGCAGCAGGAGGACAGACAGACAGCTCACCACCGATGTTGCTGTGAATGTGTGCTTTGTGTGTGTGTGTGAGTGCGTGACTGTCTTGTCTGTCTGTCTCATGCGATGAATGTGCGTGCGAGTGCCCGGCTGCTCACCTCGCGATACTCGAACCGCTTGAATCGCTCGTACTCGTCCGCCATCGCTGCGCCGAGTTCGTCGCCGCTGTGCTTCTTGCCTTTATGCTATGATCACGCTTCTGGCTGATGTCGGGCGGTTGTCATATCAACCGCAGGCTGAGATCTCTCGTCCGCTGCGCCGTCTGAGCTGCAGCGCTTTCGATTTGGTCTGTGTGACTCAATCAAAAGCTCGCAGGGTTCGCGAGCTTAGCTCGCAGAAGGGGCCAAGGAAGGAGAAAGGAGGAAGGAAACGGGGCAAAAGAAGGCCAGCACGACCTGGATCTATTGGATGAGTCTTCTACCAGCGTCTTCAGCCATGGATGGAATTCATTGCCAGGTGGTGTGCCATCATGGTATTCCTCCCTTGCTTTGCAGGATGGCATGGCTGGCTCTGGAATTCATTGCCTGCGGCCCCGGCTGTCAGTTCAGGTGTGCCAATGAGCTGACGTACCCGGCCGTTCTTTGCACCTCTTGTGCGGATAGATCATCATGACCCTCACCGAGTCTGACGGAGAGGGCGTCGACTGGGTAAGACGACACACACAGACAATCACACAGACAATTACCTGACTCGTGTGATTGGGGCTACCTCTGACGCCAGACGGCATTGCCTGACGAGAGAGCTCTTAGCGGCATTGCCTGACGCCAAGGTCAGCCTAGGGGAAGGGGGCGGCGTCTGTGGAAGTCGGCAAAATGCCTCGTCCTTCCTTGTCTGTGTGTTGATGTCCTGTTTCGCCAGGCCAGATTGACGATCTCCGAGATCCGCACAAGTGGCATGCATATACAGCGCCAAAGACAACACCGTCTTCCGCAATCGAGAGCTGTTGACGCCCTTCCCACTCAACGCTGGGGGCTTCCATCTGAACATGCACCACCTGAGTCGCCTGCCCAGGAGCACCACAGCGGCGTGCGTGCTGCTAGTCTGGCCGTCTGTCCGCCGACGTCCTCTACGTGGACAAACACTTCTGGTGAATGACGGCAGCGGTGAGGTTCCCGGTTGTCGTTGGCCACGGCTTCACTTACGAGGGGGTTGCGCCTGAGTTGGGATGGCTGGACGAGTGGGTGTGCATATGATGCATTGGGCGCGGGAGGGGGTGGGCGGGTGTATGTGTGTGCTCGATGGATGAATGCCTGTTGATCGCTCGATGGATGAATGCCTGTGTGTGCTCGTGGGGGCTGTGTGGTGGTAGTGGATGTGCACTAGCGCTTACGTCACATTCATGTCTACAGCGTGTTGGTCGGTGTGTTGAGTGTATTCTTGAGCGGAGACCCTTAATTGTAGAGCCGTTCGTTCCATTCAAGCAAACTAACTATTACCAGCAGTCAGTGGTCAACAAATGCACAAATGCACAAATGCATGCACGAAGGCACAGAACGTCTAACCCCCACAGACATACCTACACTAGTGTTCGCATCACAGGCCAGAGCAGACGAGCAATGATCATCGACTGCACTCACAGACACGACACAATACAATACAATACACATAGCTTCGGCAGTAAGCCCTCCTTCCCATCTTTGCAGTCGGTAGGTAGGTACGTCCCACCAAAGAGGCACACGCAGACGGGCACACTCTCATCCACACCCATCACAGTGCATTCTGAGTCACTCACTCCGTGCATTCATTCTCCACTAGCGCAAGAGCACCCCAGCCACACCTGTACAGCAAACCCGCCCACATGGTTGAAAACGAACGAAAGCCCACTCAACGAACGTCTCACGTGTGTCGGTCGCTCACCCAGCTGTGCTTCCTTCCTGCGTTATCTATCATCACATTCTCTGCCTTGCTGTCGTTGTCGTCGACGGCAGCTTCTGGTTGGTGTCTGCGGGCATGTTGCTCATGGGAGGGACACCCTCCGCCGTGACCCTCTGGCGGCCGCTGCGATCGCTCTCCAGGGCCGCCAGACGACGGTCAAGCTCTGCACACACCACACAGGACCTCCCATGCACCATGTTGCCCTCCCTCCCCTCTCGCCCACCGTTGACTTTGCGCTCGAGTGCAGCAAATTGGATCGCGTCGGCTCTCGACGCCTCGTCGGCGGCAGGAGCAGCTGCACGACGAGGCAGCACCATCGTCGGCTGTACGTCGTACACACAATCAGTATGTGGCCTGTTGTCTTGTGTCCTCCCTAGCTGCTGCAATCAAGCACGTACCTTGCCCGGCAGCAACTTGTCCACCGTCGACTTGAAACCCTTCGGACCCTCGGCGGCGAGTTGATAGACGCACATCACCCTGAGCGTCGAGTCGTTCTTGAGCGCCCGGATCTTCGCCTCAGGGTTGGTGAAGTTCCCCTTCTCGATCTCCTCGCGCCACTGCTTCTCCGCCCACGCATACCGTCTGTTGGTCACACGGTATGTCGTCAAAGGGGGACTCCAATCGGAGCCATATCGAAGGAAATGCGCAATCGCCCACATTCCCTTCTCGAAGAGCGGGAGAGGGGAGGAGATGGAGAGGGGCACGAACTTGGTAGCTCGCAAAATCCGGGCTAGGGTGATACCTGAAACCGCTCCGGGCGATCCCACCCCCGGCCCTTCATGGCCGCCGGCTCCATGTGGTTCGCCAGGGAGTCATGTGAGCCGGTCATCATGCGTGCGATCGGTCGATCGGAGTGTGATCGTGCGTGGCCAGTGTAGCATGATCGGACTCGCAAAAGACTCGGAGGGGGGGGGGGGGGGGGGG